AGGACTAAGGATATGTGCGCAGACACACCCAAACACCCTGAGAGGAATATGAAAATCTTCCCCTGAGGAAAAAAGAAACTAAATGGGGTGCTGAATCCAAGTATATGAGAGGGCACCCTATTAATCAGATATACTGCTGTGAGAACTGCATCACCCCAAAACCGAACTAGAACTGTAGATGTGATCATCATGCTTCTTGCGATCTCAACAATGTGTCTGTTCTTCCTTCTGCAACACCATTCTGCTGTGGACTGTAGGGACAACTGCTCTGATGGACAACACCATATTCTAACAGATATGAGGTAAGGTGTCTTTCAAAATATTCCCTGGCACTGTCGGATCTGAACACCTTTATTATTGTTCCAAACTGTGTTAGTATCATCTGATGAAATTGCCTCACCAAGGATGGTACTTCATCGCTGGATCTCATCAGGTAAATCCAAGAGTATCGTGAGAAATCATCCACAAATAAGAGAAAATATCGATAGCCTCCCATAGAAAGAACATGGTAAGGGCCCCACACATCCGAATGAATAACATCAAAAGAAGAAGAACATCTTTTATTATTACGTTTAAATGAATGTCTGCAATGCTTTCCAAGTTGACAACCTTCACACTCCAGACTTGACAAACTAACAGACTCAAAAAGTTTTGGAAACAAAAAACTCAAAGAAGAAAAAGGTAAATGACCCAAACGATTATGCCAAAGCATAATTTGACCCACAGACCCTGACTCACTGTCCCTGCTGACATGATGACTCTGATAAGGAGGAAGTACATCCAGGAGGTAGATTCCATTCACTTCACGACCACTCCCAATCGTCCTCTTTGAATCTAGATCCTGCAAAATACAATGACCAGGAGAAAAAATTACTGACCAGTTCAGGTTCTTAGTCAAACTACTAACAGATAACAAATTAGTGCTCAATTTGGGAACATGAAGGACAGAGGGTAGAGAAATAGAATTACTAATCCAAGGAGGTCCCTCCTTACCTGAAGTAGAAACATAATTTGCAATGACGTGTGAACTACCTGTGTGAGCAAAGGAAGTAGAGTGGACTCCACCAGTGCCACCTGTACCTTGCTGTCTGCTTGCGGCTGAACTGGAACTAGCTGTATCTCGCTGGTTCAGAAGTAGCCCATACCTCTCAAGTTCGGCCCTTACTGCAACAACTGCAACAGACTCCAGAGCAGCTATAGTAGGAGGGGCCGGAATGTCATCAGTAACTTCCATGTGTGCATTTCCCTTCTTATTTTTCAATCTAGTTGGCACAAGATGTGGGTGAAGCTTCCAGCAAGTATCTCTTGTGTGTTTAGGCTTCTTACAGTAGTCACAGATCAAATCTCTTTTATCTTCCTTCTTGATTTCACTGCCACTCCAATCTCCACTTTGTTTAGGTTTCACAGCACTTACCATGGAAGACTGATCAGGAATAAGATTTTTCATCATCACATCTCTCCTGCACTCCTCCCCTGACACAAAGGCATATGCTTGAGAGAGAGTAACACTGTCCCTGGAAAGGTGCTGTCGTGCAATATCATACTCAGGATTTAAGCCAGTAAGAAATTCAAACACCCTATACTTCTCTAGATGTTTCTGATAGGTAGCTGCAACCTTAGTGGTTTCCCAAGCAAATGTCTCTAAATGGTCAATCTCCTGCCACAGGGTTTTAAGGGCTGAAAAATAGGCTGCAAAAGGTCTATCTCCCTGCCTTGTAGAAATAATCTGATTTCTCAACTGATAAGCCCTAGCAACATTCTCCCTCTGTGAATAAGTTTCTGCAACCCCATCCCATATTTCCTTAGTTGTATTTGCTCATAAAAAATTTTTACTTATATGGGGCAACATGGAATTACACAACTAAGTCATCACCATATAATTCTCCTGTACCCACCGGGAGTTGCTAGTATCGGGTTTCACCTCTTCACCAGTGATATACCCTAATTTCCCACGAGCACCAATGGCCATCTTTGTAGATTGTGACCATTCTAAGTAATTTGCACCATGCAACCTAACTATAGTAATGGTCCCAGCCCCGAAAGGGTCTCCAGCACCTCCTCCCAGCACCTCCTCCCACTGGTCTCATTTCACTCCCGGGCTTATTTTCAACTCCGTGGCCCTCCATGCTTCTCAAAAAATGTAAAGAAAATAATTGAAATTTGCAACAAGATCAAACAAAACACTTTTTGGAACCAACAACACCTTTCTGGTGTCCTAGACCTTCTTTCCACAAAAGATTCCTTTTCTGTGGGACGGGAGAAGAGAGAGAAGAGGCAACCGCTCTCTCTAGAAGCCTCCAAATCAGGCAGGACTTGAATCGCCCCTTACAAAAAACTCGAAGGAACCCTAAAAAATTAAGGCGCCACTTCCTAGGTCAAAATTGAAGAGTCCAACAGAAACAAGACTCTTCCTCTTCACTTTTTCCTGATTTTGATGAGAAACCCTAGACCAGCTACAGGGCACACAGATTCACAAAAAAAATCCAAAAACTGGGCTTACCCGAGAGCTTCGATCAGCCTCTTAAATCACCATGCAGTCGGCCGATCTAGGGCTGCATGAGAGAACAACTTCAAGGAACCTTTGGCCCGCTCTGATACCAAGTAGAAATCACTAATTTTTTTTTTGATGAATAAGTAGAAATCACTAATTGCAGATTTAATCGAGTTTCTTGTGAAAGGAAAGAGGGGGAAGATGAAGATTTCAGTAGTAGAGAAGAAAGGAGAAGAAGAAAAGAGTAGGAAGTCAACCAGGATTGTAAAATTAACCCTAGCCGCCTACCTCTCATTATATTTATACTTAACTTAAAGGATGAGATATTACAAGGATGCCCTTAGTAGGGTGACTACTAATATAGCTGAACAATCACAACTTAAAAAAACATAAACTAATGGGCCTAAAGCCCAACAACTTCCTAACTAAATAAAAAACAACTCGGACCAACTCAACACTCTTCTAAGTCTATGTTCAGGGCTTTGATCGCTGAGGAACATCATTCCTCTTTTCCTTATAAGAAAATCTGGTGTAGCCACATACCTACAAGAATTTGCTTCTTTGTTTGGGAAGCTTGCCTACAGAAAGTTAATACCTGCGATCTCCTTCAGAAAAAACTCTTGGGCAGACGCTTCATTTCTCCCCATGTTTGTATTCTATCTCGGTCAATGATATTAATAGAGATGTTTACCCCTTTCTGTTTTTCCCTCATCCCCTGCAAACAGTCTTGAAACACCCCGTTCTCTTCTGTGAAGGGGTGATTACCCTTAACTTTGACGGCTGTGCCTTAGGCTACCCTGGTTCTGTTGGTATTGGAGGTATAGTAAGGGACGAAAGGGGCAATATATGCTGGACTTTTAGTGGCCCAATTGGTTTAGTTGACTCCACAAAGGCTGAAGTGATGGCTGCTCTCACCGGAATCAGGACAATAAAAAATTTGGGAATTCAGAATTTGATTATTGCGGGAGATTTCAGCAAATACGATAAAATGGTTGAGAGACAAAGAGGGGGGCCCTTGGAGACTGAATCATTATCTGACAGAGGCTTGGGATTCTTTGAATTGTTTGAATGTTAACATAGTCTGGATTCCTAGGGAACAGAATCATGCTGCAGATGGCCTAGCTAAATTTTGTGTGTACTTGGAGCAATTGTATAGCAACAAGCTTCCTCCATTGTAACTAGTAGGGGTTATTCCCCTGCTTTGTATATCTCCCCTTGTTCCCTCTCTTTTTCCTAATGAAATCTGGTTAAATTTTTCTCAAAAAAAAAAAAAGTTCTTGGATGCCTCCATAACCAACATCACAAACACTAAAAAGTTAATTGAATGCTTTGAAATTGTCATTGGTTTGAGGGTTAGCTTCTGCAAAAGCTCTATAGTAGCTCTGAACTCTGTGGAAGTGGAACTCTTGGAGAGCTTCAAATCTTTGTTGGGGTGTAAAGAGGAGAGTCTTCATATCTCATACCTGGGGATGCCTCTTGGAGGGAATCCAAAATCTCTCAATTTCTGGAGACCGGTGGTGGAAAAATGCGAGAAGAAACTTTTAGTTTGGAAGAAGTGTTATCTTTAAAAAAGGGGAAGACTTACTCTTTTGAAGGCCTCCTTAGCAAATATGCTAGTCTACTTCCTTTCAACTTCCCAGATTCCAACCAAAATCAGAAATCAGATTGAGAAGCTTCAAAGGAACTTTTGTTGGGAAGGAGGTGGGGAGAAGAGGAGTCACTTAGTCAGTTGGAAGCAAATTTGCAAGCCTAAAGAGAATGGTGGCTTGGGAATTGGGCACCTAAAAGAAAAAAATTCTTCTCTCTTAGGTAAATGGCTATGGAGATTCCCTAAAGAACCCAATGCTCTCTGGACTGCTGTCATCTCAAGCAAATACGGATCAAATGCAAACGGGTGGGTTATCAATCTCCATTTGAACATGATAAAATCCACAAATCCATGGAAAGGTATCATCTCCACCTATTCTTCTTTCTTTCCTTTTATAAGATATAAAGTAGGAAATGGCTCAAAAATAAAATTCTGGATTCTGGAAAGACCTTTGGTGGGGGGAATCTATCCTTGCTGCCTCCTTCCATAGACTTTTTACCCTCACCCTTTACCAAGAAGGTCCTATTTCTGCTTTCCTTCCAGACCAAACTGTTGAGAACACCCTTAACCTTTGACTCAGAAGACCCCTAAGGGATTTGGAAAATTTTGAATTATTAACTTTAGTTCAGACCCTTAAAGAAGTTTACATCTCCCCCTCTAAGTCTGACACCCGAATCTGGACCCTGCATCCTACTAGCGAATTCTCTCCTAAGTCTATGTTCAAGGCTTTGATTACTGATGATTATCATCCCCCCTTTCCTTCTAAGAAGACCTGGTGCAGCCACATCCCCTCAAGAGTATGTTTCTTTGTCCGGGAAGCTTGCCTCTAGAAAGTTAACACTTGTGATTTCTTACAAAAAAAGTTTCTGGGAAGACTGTCTTTTTCCCCTCATGTTTGTTTTTTTTATGCCTCAGCGAAGGAGAATCAGCAGATCACATTTTTCTTCACTGCAAATTCACCCAAAAGATTTGGTTCCATTTTCTGAAAATGGCAGGTTACAGTTGGGTTACACCAAAGCATGTTAAGGACTTTCTACATCAGTGGCAAGGAACAGGTCTAAGTAAGAGGTGTAAAATTTATTGGCAACCAGTGTTACACGCAGTGCTGTGGGGTGTTTGGGATGAAAGAAACAAAAGGCTTTTTAACAACAGATCAAGGCCCCTGGAGGAGTTAATTTCAGACATCTCTTACCTGTGCAACCTTTGATGGTGAATTCTGATCTTTTCAGAGGTATCTCAATCAACGACCTCAATAGAGATGCTTACCCTTTCTTATTTCTCCCTCACCACCATCAATCACCCTTAAGGTTTCCTGAACCCATCAGTGAAGGTGAGATAATATTAAATTTTGATGGAAGTGCTTTAGGTAAACCCAGATTAGCTGGTATTGGAGGAACATTAATGGATGAAAGGGGCAACATCTGTTGGACTTTCAGCGGTCCAATAGGCGTGGCAGATTCCACAAAGACTGAAGTAATGGCTGCCCTCACAGGAATCAGAATAATAAAAAGCTTGGAAATTCAAAATATAACAATTACAGGTGATTCAGAAAATACTATAAAATGGTTAAGAGACAGAGGGGGGGCCTTGGAGATTAAGTCACTATTTAGAAGAGGCCAGGGACTCTTTGGACTGCCTAAATGTAAAGTTAGTTTGGATTCCTAGGGAACACAATCATACAGCAGATGGCTTAGCTAAATGTGGTGTATTCTTAGAGGAGCTATATAGCGACAAGCTTCCTCCTTTGTAGTTTGTAGGGGTTCTTCCCCTGCTTTGTACATCTTCTCATGTACCTCTTTTTTATTAATGAATCTTGGTTAACTTTTCTCAAAAAAAAATGGGAGGATTTTTGGTGAAAAGAGTGGAATAGAAATGGAAATATTTGATTTGGTGATAATCAAAGTGTCACATTGGGTGAAGACCCTAGAGTATTTCCAAAGGTTTCTCAGCAAACGACATTTTGAGAACTTGGAAGGAAGTGGCATTATTGGGCTCAAGCAAAGGAAAGAGTAAATATGGATTTTAGACCCCTAACAACCAACTTTATTAAACTCAAGTTTAATGGGAGTTATATTGGTAGTCAAGCTGTGTGATGTGGACAGAAAACAAATTACATTTAGCACCTCAGGTATACAACAATAAACTCAAGAAAAACCAAGTTGAAAACAACAAAACAAGTTGGATTTTTAGGGATTTCAGACCTAAAGTAAAACTCCTCCTGGAACAGTTTTGCTACAGTAACAATGGCAGTAAGCTGACCCCGTGCGAACATGCAGCAATAGAGGGATTGGAAGGTGCCAAAATGGGTCGATTCCTCAAACCTAAGCTCCCGATACTTGAAAACCCTACCTGGGGCTGAGCTACAACTCAAACAAGAGAGAAAGAACTAAAAAAGGACCCTACAGAAACAGCCCCCTTCTCTTTTATATGACCCAATGACTTGTTGAAGCCAATTAAAATATTTACACATAAACCCCCCCAAAAGATAACTTTTGTTACAAAAAGACTCAAGAGACCAAAACCCAACAGATGTGCACCCAAACCCAATTGCCTCTGACCAGGATCTAAATTATAAAATGACGAAAATACCCCTGGTCCCAAACTGTCAACAAAGCTACCCAAAAGCAACAATTCCTACTACAAAAGCATGCAAAACATAATACATTCACTTTTTTTTTTCTCTTTTTTTTTCCTTTTTTTTGGCCTCACCACTGTGGTTCGAATGAGAGAGGTGTTCCAAGACACAGAAGGAAAGGTGTTAGCACTGTTTTTAGGACCATTAGCAGATTGTAATGCATGGAAAATAGATCTGTGTGGATTGCTCCACTACTTAAGATTTGCTAAGCAATTTGGTTTCTACAACTTGGAGGTGAAAGCAGACTCTTAGGTGGTCATTTCATGGACAAGATGTAGCTCCCAAATCCCATGGGTCTATAAACATACCTTTTGGAAAATATAAAGCATTATTAAGGGAGTTGAATGTTGTCTTCAAATGAGTGAGAAGATCAAGAAATGGGATGGCGGATGTTTTGGCCAAACAAGGCACAAGAAGGCAACAAATGTTTTGGGCAAAATTATAAATTATAAAGTTTGTCTTTGGGGTGGAAAAAACCACCTTTTTTTTTCGGTTTTGATCAATAACAAGTAACTTTTATTAATCTTTATGAAGCTTTAAGTACAAGTAGTGTTTTAAAAGTGCAAGGCGCAAGGTGAGGCACAAAAATAAAAAAAAGAAATGTCAGAAAATTAAAAAAATGCCAAAAAATTAAAAAAATGTCGGAAAAATAAAAAAACATTAAACGTAATATTAATAAAAAATATAAATATAATTTTAAAATAATTGTATTAAAAAACCTATTATCTAAAATTAAAATACATAAACATAACCTGTGAAGCGTATTCAAATGAGAATTTAAAAATAAAACTAAACATATAAAACATTTTCCTCAATTGCATAACTTCAAGTAGCTAATGTGATGTAAAACATATTATATTCCTGATTCTATGAGCCACGTTTGTACCACGCCCCTCGAGACAAGCCCAAACAAGTCCATGTTAGGGTCTTAAATTCTTAGTTCTCACACAAAATTAATGATTTTATAATTTTAATTGCTTTTTAAGAAGATATTCTATTAAGATGAATGAATAAACAACACTACCAAATAGGGGGTTCTCAAAGCTTCGGTGAGCCTGGGCTAAGGCGCAAGGCGCATCAGGTGCACGCCTAGGCGCACCAGGTGCATGCCTAGGCGCACCAGGCAGGCACCTTTTGAAAGGGCTGAGCCTAAGATCTAGGCAAGGTGCATGCCCTAAAATGCACCTTGCCTATGCGCCTAGGTGCAGCTTTTAAATCACTGAGTACAAGTAGGGGGAGGAAAACTATCTTAACTCCCCCACAAGCAAAAAAAAAAGAAAAAAAGATTAGAAATGAGCCCAGAACAAAGAATCCCTATTCACCCCTTGCTTGGCTAACCCATCAGCAAATGAGTTAGCAATTCTCTTCACCCAGTTGCATTTTATCTCAATGTCCTTAGCCAACCATTTGAATTTTTCTTTTCATTGCTGTAGTTCCACATTTTGGGCTTGTCTTCCTTTACCAGCTCATCACCACCTCCGAGTCACCTTCAATTACCAGCCTCCTAATGTTCAATTCTCTTGCTCTTTGGATTCCTTCCAAGGCCGCAAAGATCTCATCTCTAAGAGAGTCACCTTCTCCAATTGGTCCTGAGAAAATGGCTAAGACATTCCCTACCTCATTCCTGAACACTCCCCCAATACCAGATAGCCCTGGATTCCTAATGCTATTGCAATCAAAATTCAGTTTTATGAAGCAAGAGGGGGGAGAGATCTAAGAAGGACTTGGAACCCTCTTAATCTGGGCAGAATTTGCTATCTTTTTCCAATTTCTCAGCAAGTCGTCCAAGGTAAAATCTATGAATTAGTCCGAGGATTTCAGCCATTGTACCACCCTTACATGGATCAGCTCTATTATGTTCTCAATGCTTCTCTCCTTGTCTGAGAAGATTCTTGAATTTCTTTCTTCCCATAATGATCGGCATACAACAGTCCTAATGCACTTCCACATGAAAAACCCACCTATTTGTAATACTTGAACTTGATATTAATAAAATCTCTTTTTACTGATAAAAAAAATCATATAGACCAGATTGAACAGTTCAGTGGTTGAAACATATGGTTAAATGTTTTTTTTTTTTTTTTGACTAAGTCAATTGTTTTTTGTCTACTGGTGGGTTTGGAGTAAAACCAAACCATCTTGGCCTTGGAGTGATGGGCTATATGTTGACTGTTTGGTTCAACAGGTTGAAAATGATACTTTTTTTCTTTTTACATAAACATGATCCTTTTCTTAGTGGTTTTCTTCCTTACAAAGTAATGCTTGTTTTACGTTCACAAGTTAAGGAGAAGGTGACCGTGCAAGGAGGAAAGGGATCGGTTGTTCCTAGAAATTTTGTTTCCATTGGATCATGCTTTCCTGCAGTTGCAAGTCCCAATTATGCTGCAGCATCACCCAAGAGCCCTCATATCATGGAGACACATGTTACAGCAACAGCCAATATTCTTCGTAAGTGTTGTTATTATCACCATCATCTTCTTCATCATCATGATTCAAATACTGGTTATGCCTCTTTAGAAAAATAGTTGTAATATCAATATATTTATACTAATGACAATTTTTATGTTCACCCGAATGTGTTAATGCAGCACCACCCAATGGCCCTCATATAATGGGCACAAGTGCTGCAGCACCACCAAATTGCCCTCGTATCACAGAGACACGTGTTACAGCAACAGCCAATATTCTTCGTAAGTGTTGCCATTATCACCATCATCTTCATCATCATGATTCAAATGCTAATATATCACATATGCCTCTTTATCCAAAAAGTTGTCATATCAATATATTTATAGTAATGACATTTTTTATGTTTTCACTCTAATGTAATTAACACAATTTGGAGGCACTTAAAGGGAAACAGAAAATTGAGTGAAAGTTCTTAACAAAATTTGTGAAATTCCTTACCTGTTTGACAAATCAAACATACACTAACAAACCTGTTTGATAGGAATAGAATTGTATGTGTAAGAAATGGTAATAATCAAGTTATGATTTCTCAATCCTTGATGGATAAGGATTAAGAAGGTTCTATTTAAGGGATGATCCCTCTTGTAATTTTTTTGATAGATCCTCCTCTTGTATTTTTTGCTACATTACTTCCCCATTTAGTGTAGTCTAAGAATGAGAAAAGAGGAGAGAACCATTAATGAAGGCATTTTGGTTCAAAAGAAATGAACGGTTGCCTTCATTCATTTTTATTTCTTTTATATTCCACTATCATTTATAAGAAATTCAAAGTTCTTATACTTGCTATTTTATGTGATTGATTTATCCAACACTTTGAATTGGATATGCACACACTTGGTGGGGCTGCCTTGCTTGCGCTGCAATGCCTTATCTCACTGCATTTGTGGGCACCCTGAAGGGATGGGATATCCATCACATGGATGCCCAAGTCTTGCGGAATGGACTGGGCGAATTTCAAAAAATTTCTCCCATCTTTGCAGGGAATCGAATTCCCTATTTTGAAAAACATATTTTTCAAGGATCAATCTTGAACCAT